TGTGTGTGTGTGTGTGTGTGTGTGTGTGTGTGTGTGTGTGTGTGTGTGTGTGTGAGTGTGTGTGTGAGTGTGTGTGTGTGTGTGTGTGTGTGTGTGTGTGTGTGTGTGTGTGTGTGTGTAACTTTTAGGTTAAGGTTCATTATTATTCATGGTGCCTGAAGCTAATGAGATGCGAGGTTACAACTGGGAAAGAGACCAGTGGTAAAACTCCCCTCACTTGATAGTGAACTTTGCTGAAAGAGTTACGGTCACGTGTGTGGAAGTGTAGGTAAACGCAAACGTCTGCTGAAAAGGTTGCTGACAAAGAAACTGGGAGGTGGTTTGTCGTCCTTCACCAAGGTCAACCAATAAGGGACGAGAAGGCTCGCTATAAAGGTGCGAGTACAACGTGTGTTCAACAGTACGATCCCGGGTTTTGATTTATGTCTTTTGACGTAATAAAAGTTATATTGCACCAAACTCTGTCTGCCTCCAGCGATTTCTTCAGAACCCATTTGAATTGCATTATTCTCACTAGTCCGAGATGTTCCTCCCACAACTTCTTTGTTTTATTTTAATGTATGCACCACAGCACCAAGTCAAATCCCTCGTATGTGTTGTATCCCGTTTCTGATCCTGACCTTTCTTTTTGTTTTGACATTTCCTATCCCAAAGGCAACACTAGTTCAAATTCAAAGCTTAAAGTTATAAAGCCACTGGCATCATGAGAGGATTATTGCGTCAATAAGAGTGGATTCTCTCCAGGTCTGTAAATACTGGGTGAAATCTATAAAAACGTGAAACACATTAAAAGATCTCCAGCTGGAGTCACAACCAATCGAAAGCCTCCGCTGTTTTATTCTACTCTCGCTGGAAAGTGTGACAGCATGAGAAATAAATATGAAACCATTTGGGCTTTTTACAATCCTATATCCTCGTGGACTTTTAGTAAAGCTGTGAGCCTTTACTGAATGTAGTTTACACTCGATGAGGACTTTTTAAAATGACTAAATTGGAAAGTAAATATTTTTACCATTTTTGAAAAGTTTCTAACTTTGCAGAAGGAGATAATCTTTATTTTGCATATTTTTCGACGGGTTACATGAGAATGCACTTAGAGATCTGCTCTACCAAATAATGCTGATATCGCCCTTTTCATTCCTCTCCTTCTTTCCTTCTCTTTCCCTGTTCCCTCCTTTCTTCCTCATATAAGTAAATATGAAACCATGAGGACTCGATGAGGACTTTGTAAATGACTAAATTGGAAATTAATGATAAGGTATTTTAGCACAAATACTGTAATTAAGTTTGATTTTATACTTGATTAATTCCATTTTTGGAGATTGTGTAACTTTCAGAAGGAGATATTCTTTATTTTGTATGTTTTTTGACAGGTTTCTTTGCAGATGAATATGCACTTAGAGATCTGCTCTACTACTCCGACCAAATAATGCTGATATTGTCCTTTCTACCTTTTCATTCCTCTCCTTTCTTCATCATATATATCTGACAGTATCAAGTTGTTGCCAAGATAAAGTCTGATATATAATGTTTTAAAAAATCTATCCAAGCATTGTATCAGGTTCTCTGACAAAGTGACGTCTAAGTAAAGAAAGAATTGTCTGCAGAAACATCACAACTCAAATGACGGTGAATGAGGTCAAAATAATTCAATAACTGTTTTTGGGATTTGAGAACTCTTCCTAAACACGATGTCCATGCTGATTGGACACATGTTATATTTACATTAGGAGTCATCGACAGTGTTACTGATGTATGTTTCTAGCTTCTCCTGCCAAATCTGAGTGTTTGAGTCATTGATCTATCAGTGATCAGTTCCCTCAGACCGTAGAAGATAACCTCTTATTGTTCTTTAACCACCATCCCTCTTTAGCAGCTTAGCAACAGCCCACTTCTGTTCCTCCGTCCCTCAGTGAGTGGAAAGTCTGAGCTCGAGTGTAAACACACATAAAACCTGCTATCACTCGCTCGTAGCGTTTAATGATGTAGGAATTTCTCCTATTGTTACGTCACCCTGAGCTGCTTTTGTTACGGCGTTAAAAGCATTAAATAACGAGTGGAAAATGTAAGATGTGGAATGTAATAAACGTGTTTCTGGCTGCGTACCGAGGACAAAGATCTCCACCCCTCTGCTCCTCAGCTGCCGGGCGTAGTTCTCCACGGGATCCTCAGATTTGCCGTCCGTTATGATCACCAACACTTTGGGGAAAGCCTTCCTGGCACCAGACGCCTCAGAGAAAGAGTTCTTCAGGAGGTAGTCGAGGGCATCGCCTGGAGCAGGAACACAGGAAGGGGTTGGGTTTTAAATGATACAGAGAAAACAATGGTCTGCAGAGGTGGGAAGTAGTGGAGTACAAATACTTTGTTACTTTCTACTTCTTACATGTTGAACCCAAATACCTGTACTTTCTACTTCTTACATGTTGAACTCAAATACCTGTACTTTCTACTTCTTACATGTTGAACAAAAATACCTGTACTTTCTACTTCTCACATGTTGAACAAAAATACCTTTACTTTCTACTTCTTACATGTTGAACACAAATACCTGTACTTTCTACTTCTTACATGTTGAACACAAATACCTGTACTTTCTACTTCTTACATGTTGAAC